GGAACAGAAATGGCACCTCAGTTTTCAAATGCAGTATTACAAAGCATAACAATATGATTTGTAAGAACTTTCATTGACTAAGACGAGTAGATTTCTGTTTTACTTTTGTTATATATTTATTAAACATGCAGAAATTATTTCCTGAAAATGATTCAGACAATTTTCAAGTGGTGGGTGATAATTGTAATTGCTATTGCCATTTATTATGGGAATATAAGAATAACAAGAGTTAAAAATACTTTGATAATTTCAGATCATCCAGTGACTCTTCCCGGTCCCCTGTCCATAAGAAGCATAAGAAGCGTTCCTCCTCTTCTTCTTCCTCTAGTTCCTCAAGCAACTCCTCCCGCTCAAGATCAGGCTCTGGTCACCGCAAGAGGTTTGGCAGTGCAAGCAAGAAGAAGCCGGAAGTTGATTCATCAAGGTCTTCCCCGAGCAAGAGGCAATTCCTTGCTTCCCCTGACCGTTCCAGAGCGAAGGATAACGGTGAGGAGGCTAAGGGACGACATGCACCTGTGCCAGAGAAGAGGAGTCGCCATTCACGCTCTCGGTCAAGGTAGGCTTTTCTTCATATTCATATTTATTTATCCATTTTTGTTTATTTTATTTTATTTTTCTCTTCCATGAATAAACCAATTATTCCTCATGTTTGAGAGTCAGAACTACCATATTTTGCCAGTAATTTCCCTACTTTTTGATATAGCAGACACCAACATAGCATATTTCCCCCCTCCAGATCTCCCAAAACCAAGACCCACAAGCAAGATGGAAGCTCCTATGAATCCAAAAAGGACAGCAAGTGGTCTGACAGCAGAAGGGACAGCCAGAACTCTGACAGGAGACAACAAGAGGAGGAGGAGAAGGAGAACAAGGAAACAAAGCCTATGATAGATTATTCCTCTTTCAAGTCAGTGAGGAAAGGTAAGTTGTGCTGAGGATTTTTTCTTGTACACGCACACACGCACGCGCACATGCACACACACACACACACACACACACACACACACACACACACACACACACACACACACACACACACACACACACACACACACACACACACACACACACACACACACACACACATGTACACATGTACACATACATACATACATATAAATGAGTAAATTGTTGTTTGCTCATGTGGAGTAATGAAGACTTAGCCAACAATTTCGACCATTGTTGGACTTCATTGCTCAGTTGATGTGTGAAACTTTGAGACTTGAAATATGTAAAAGCTCAGCATTTACTCTTGTCTTCTGATGCCCCTCTTTATTTTTCTCAACAGTAAGCTTATCTCGAGGCAAGTCAAGAGATGAAGAAGCTGAAAAAGACGCAGACAAACCAAAGAAAAGGAAATGGGGTAATTCTTCCTCAAGGAAAATGTCAGTTGATATTTCCTCCGCTTCTCTTAAGGTAAGTGACTTTTTTTTTACTCAGTGAAAGTTGGATGGTAAACGTTACTTTGTTATTCTACGAGGTTTGCTTTTATTTTTATTTGTTATTATATTTTTATTATTATTTTTTAATTAATTAATTAATTTTTTTCAGGTTGTCTTTGCTAATCATCCCTATTAGTTGTTCATTCTAAGATCTTATAGTATACTTCGCCCCAAATAGCTTTGAGCACCTTGAACTCGGTTTAAAGTACAGGCAAACATTATCAACAATTAGAGCAACTACTTGTATCAATATCCAATATTGTTTCAACCCACAGACCATTATCCCTGATGTGAAGCCCCTCCTGCCCTCGGAACTGCACATGGGTGAGGACTCGGAACCCGAGTCTGGAGAGGCAAGTGATGCCGAGGGACCTGAGCCACCTCCCAGCCTAGGTCAGGAGGCCAAGGAAGAGTTAATGGAGGAGGGCGAGGAGGCCAGACCCCGGCGTGAGGTGCGGGAAGTGTCCCCGGTGGCAGTCAAACAGAGGAAGAGATCCAAGTCGCCCGAGGAGAGTAAGTTTGTCAGAGGATTCCGTGGGGATTGCCTTATAGTGACTTGTGTTTTTTAGGATTTATTTACATGTTACGAGTCTATTTAATTGTGTATCCATTTTTTTAATTGAATTAAACTAGTGTCTTCTGAGATGTGTTGCTCCTTTTCATTAGGATTTTCACTTCCTGTTCCAGAAGCCATGAGAAAGATCAGGATGTATGAAGGGCCTCCTGTAAGCAAGCCAGCCATTCCCCCCGCACGAAACCCACCTTCCAGAGTAGTGTTCATTCAGCACCTAGTCCGGCCGTTCACCATCAACCAGCTGCGCGAGTTGCTGCAGAGAACGGGTCGATTAGTGGATAATGGCTTCTGGATTGACAATATCAAGTCCAAGTGCTTGGCAATGGTGAGTGTTGTGTTTGTGTTAGCCTAGGGTTGTTTCCCAATGTATTGCCGTATATTTATTAAGACCTGTAAAACATAGAATTACCTGTTCAAGCAGTTTTCAAGACTATTTATCAATTGTAAAAATAATAATGATAATAGTAATAATAATGGTAATGATTTATTTCAGTATGAGAATGAGGATCAAGCTCAAGAAACCCGTGTTGCTCTGCATGGTGTTAAATGGCCAATGTCGAACCCAAAGAATTTGTTTGTTGATTTTGCCACTGAGGTAAGGCTTTTTTCTTTTTTTTTTTTTTTTCCCCCTCATTCTTTCTTTTTTCACTCATTCTTTCTTACACTCTTTGATTTATGCAGTTTGATAATTTTTTTCATGTCAGTTTGCTCTTCTTTTCCCAATTATTTATTGGGTGTGTTTACTTTTGAACAGTGTTCATTTTAACAAGTAGAAAAGGTATAAATGACTATTTTCAGTTATATCTTTATCAAAAGTACTTGTAGTTCTAACAAAGTCATAATTACAACTGGCCAAATACATCACTTTTCACTGTCAAGAATTTACTTTCTTTCTCTTTCATTTGCATCCCTGAAATTTAAAAGCCCAAATAGTTTTGTTAGTGATGAGTTATGTAATGTGTAATGTAATATATCTGATGGCTATTCTGATGCAAGTTGTTTGTCGTCTGTTAGCACTCAGAAACAGGGCAGACAGCTATTCTTAGTGATGAGTTATGTAATGTGTAATGTAATATATCTGATGGCTATTCTGATGCAAGCAGCTTTTTGGATTTGAACATCATTCTTTTTTCTTTAACTAGGAGGAGATGAAAAAGAGGCTGGAGGAGAATGCCCCTCCTCCCCAGAAGGCTGTAGAAGAGAAACGAGATGATAAATGGAAAGTAAGTGCAATGACTTTTTGTGGCTTCTTAAAGATGCTTTTTGATTTATGGATTTAATTGTGGTTTGGTTGATGAGTACTTTAGTGAAGGGAAGACAGACATGAGAGTTAATAGTTTTTTGCTTTGGTTTTGTTCATATTTGGTCTCTTCCTGCAGGTGATTTAAAGTATATGTACTTTGCTCCTAGATTTTCTTAGTACATGTTGTAATGATAGTGATAGTAAGCATCATCTCACCCAACCTTTGCAATGTACAGCGTGAAGGGCCAGTGCGTGAGTGGGACTTGGCGAAGATAGGAGAGCGTTCGCCAGGGGAGAGGGAGCGGGAACGCGAGAGGCTGAGAAGAGAGAGGGAGGAGGAGAGAATGAGAGAACGCCGCAAGAGCCAGAGTCCAAGCGGTGCTGAAGGTATGGAGGTCTAGGTCTTGGTTCTTTTCCTTTTTTGATTTTATTTTTTTTTTTTATCATTGTGAGAAATGGTTTTATTTATTAGTTGCTCTTCTTTCAAGATGTCTATTGTAGCAACATGTAGCATACCTAAATACAGGTACATGACATTGCTAATATTGCTTTGTATGGTGTACATTCAGTTGCCAGGAGGAGGGGGAAAGGAAGAGAAACCTCTTCATTAACACGGATTTAATGCATTACAATATCTAATCACTAGGCGAGAAACAGAAAAAGAAACCAGAGGAACCTCCCGCCAAGCTGCTGGATGATTTGTTCCGCAAAACAAAGGCACAGCCAGCTATATACTGGCTGCCACTGACCACCGAACAGGTATGCTTTGTCTGCTGTGGAGTTTGTGAATATAAGACCTTTCTTATTCAATGTGTTGAGTGTATTTGAAAGAATGCCTCTGAATTGTGTATATAATGTAGTCTTCAACTCCAGCCATCTGCCAAATTTTTCTCATTCTTGTTTTTAAATTTTCACAATAATGCCAATGTATCAGTATTTCCCACAGCTGGGGGGATATTCTAGGTAAATGAGGAATCAAGTTAAAACTGATTAAAAAAAAAAAAAAAAAAAGTACTTTTATTCTTGCAATTTTTTAAATACTTTTAATCTGAGGATGCATGTGGTCTTCAGTGTTTTGATATCCAAATTATATAGAAGTGAAAGATGGACAGTTGAAAAATATATATATATATTTTTAGAAATAGTAGTATCACTCTTCTCTCTTCTTCTCTATTCTCTATTCTCTCTCTCTCTCTCTCTCTCTCTCTCTCTTCTCTCTCTCTCTCTCTCTCTCTCTCTCTCTCTCTCTCTCTCTCTCTCTCTCTCTCTCTCCTCTCTCTCCTCTCTCTCCCTCTCTCCCTCTCTCCCTCTCTCTCCTCCCTCCCTCCCTCCCTCCCTCCCCCCTCCCCTCCCTCCCTTCCCCTCCCTCCCTCCCTCCCTCTTCCTCCCTCCTCCTCCCTCTCCTCCCCTCTCCTCCCCCTCTCTCCCGCTCTCCTCCCTCTCTCCCTTCCTCCTCCCCTCTCCCCTCCCTCCCTCCCTCCACAGCCATATGACTGAACTCCCATCTCACTGCAGATTGCCGAGAAAGAGGCGCAGCGACGCCAGAAGATGGCTGAGGTGGAGCGTCTTCAGGCCGAGATGAAAGCAGCTAAGGAGAAGGAGAACGAAGAATGGGAGAAAATCCGAGCTGAGAGAAAGAAGGAACGCGAAAAGGAACGAGAGAAGGAGAGGGAGCGGGAGAAAGAGCGCGAGAAGGAGAGAGAGCGGGAGAGAGAGAAGGAGAAGGAGAAGAATGCTCGCAAGTCCCGCTCAAGGTCAAGGTCCCGGAGGAGGAGCCGTTCCTCAAGAAGATCGCCACGGAGGTCACCGAGGAGGTCACCCCGTAGGTCCCCAAGAAGGTCACCCAGACGCTCGCCCAAAAGGTCACCGAGAAGGTCGGCAGGGAAGTCTCCTCGAAGGTACGGGTGCAACCTTTGTCTTAGGTGCATTTAGGCTCTAGTGTAGAGTGGTTAATGGGGAGACATGCCACATGTATCAATGAACATTGATAGATGCATATCATCAGGGCAGAGCTGTTTTTATTCGACTTTAGATTAGGATTGTTGTGACTTTTTGTATGAATGCTTGAAATGTCAAGGTTTACTGCTCTGTTTTTATTATGCTTGCTCAGTATTATCTTGCCATGACATGGGTGTGAAATAAAAGTTGGTGATTTTTGTGAGTAAATGACCATATCAGGGAGATACAAACTTAGTTATCATCCACTCTGGCATGACTTAAGGTGTGATCACACAGGGAAAGATAAAAAGCGTGCTCTAATCCGTGGTGTCTGTGTGCACCCTTGTTATCCGGCTGTCTGTGCCTTTACTCTTAAACAATTAAATACAAGTGCTCATCATTTATGTACAGTTTTTCAAAATGTTGCATGTGTGAAAATGGCCTGCATGATTTGAGTTGAAAAGTCAGTGTGTCAGATCACACACATATAGCAAAGTCAGTAGTCTGGCTACTTGTTTCACTTCATTAATAACTTTATTTGTTGACTACCACTTGTAACTATCATCAGTATCATGTATTAATACAAGTAAGATAGTTATCACAGGCTAAACTAATGGCCTTTTCCCTTCTTTCTCCCCCTCCACCTCCCCCTAGATCACCACAGCGTTCCCGGCGGTCCGCCAGCAGGGAGTCGCGACGATCTCGCAGGAGGAGCCGCAGCCGTTCAAGATCCCGCACTTGATTCCATGAAGGCATTTTGATGAGGGGAGCTCACAACCATGCGAAGGAAACATGAAAGAGAGAGAGAGCTTGGAAAAACATGTAAACGAATCCATATGCAACAAGAGGAGGAGGAGGACAAGCTACCACTACAACTGATTGCTGGGCCCCATCGGCCCACACCTCCCTAGAAGCAGTACTGTACTAAAACAAAAGAGGCTTCAACACGCCAGCTTCGACGCACCAGTCCTCTACCACCTACAAGGTTATTGTTACACATGTGTGCTGCCTCCCCCTCCTCACCTCACGCCTCTCATATCCTTCTTGCATCCTTCAGACTTTCATCACTTCCCTCCCCCCCACCACCTCATCCCCCCTTTTCTGCAGGTTTTCACCACGCAGTGCTCTTCTGGTGTTAGGATTAGGTTTATTTATGCTGTCCAAGGTTTGATTGAGAGATTCTGAAGTGAGTCAAGAATAAGTAGAAGAATGTCCAGAAGGTATTCTGAATTTTTTTTAAGAGCCGACTTCTCTAATTTTCTTTGTCTGTGTTTGCAATGCATTCACATCATTGCTTTGTACCAAATGGTAAGTATTTAATTTCGTTCATTTTGCCTTGAATAGTCATTAGATTAGCTTAAGAGTAGGTGAAGCTTATTTTTATTTTATTTACATATCAGAAGAGCATTGGGTGGTAAGGGAAGTGTTGAAAGCGTTATGGGTGACGAGAGAGCTCCTGCGCTGTGAGATTCACCGATGACTCGTCAGGGTACCAGCGGGAACTACGATGATCACCAGTACTGACCAGCGTTTGTCCTATAGCTTCCTCATGGAATGCCGTTCGCGAAGCTGTACAGCTTTTCAAAATGCCTCAAGAGGCCCAAAACTAAAGGGAAATGACAGTTGTTTCCATCCCTCGACAACCAAATTAATAATGGACCGTACCTGCGGGTACTCTAAAACATGAATTGACAAATTGAAGTGTTTTATCCCTCTTGCGGATCACGATGAAGAGACAACACAGCAATGATGAAATCAAGGCTTGAGTGGCTTGAAGTGAAACGGTGATAGTGAATCGTTGAAGTGTGTCCGAGTTTTTTAAAGATGCAGACAAAAAAGTGATATAGAAAATCTGGGTTTACCGACTTGTATCAATTAATTATTGCACTTGATCATGGGAGAACATATCCAAGCACCAAGTGCCTGGAACAAACAGTGATGCAGTGCCGTGCATTGGTGACTGACTGAAGGGTGAACGACCCTCTCCCCTCTGATTGTATGGAGTACAAAAAATTTTAGTGATGTGTAAACCCAGGTGGATAAGGAGATGGACATCTATGGAGATGCATGATGCTCTCCAAGTGTGTGAACCACATATAAAAGTTAACACGTGCTGATTTATGTAGGTCTACGGATATATACATTATACAGATAAAATTTTTCAGTTTAGAGTATTTTGATGTTACATTTTCAAGTGAATTTATGCACTTTAGGTTTTTATTGTTTGAGAGAGATCTAAAGATTTCTTCAGTTGTGATGACTTGTGGATGATTGTTTATAATGGAATAAAGTAACACCCTTAC